TAGAGTGATTGTACACATTCATGACCATAAATCAAATAACAATACAATAAATCACATCATATATTTGGTTCTAATGAAAACCAAATGAAGCTCCTAGTGAAAAACCAGAATGGGATGGAGGCATAAACATATTTCTGTAGTCCAAAGTCTTTACTTTGAAAAGAAAATCTACATCAAAGCTTAAAGAATCTTGAACAAAATCTTGTAAGGCCAGGACCAGCATAGATGACTTTTTCCATTTGGTGCCTTCAAGTTACCAAGACACAGTCCCATACAGAGACTTCTGCGTTTGACTGAGTTCTACTAGGTGGACTAAATCTTGTCTTTACTGAGTCAAGGTCCCTCATGTTCCAGCTCTGGAAGTAAGAGGCCAAGTCCACTGCCCATTTCGCAGTCAACAGCAATCTGAATGTTAGCTGCTTCCCCAACTTTTCAGGTTGCCACAGCCTTAACTAAGGCCTGCCAAGAAAGAACTTCAAAGGAGCAATGTCATCTCCATTTTTCCAAATAGTGAAACCCATCCTTCACCTAAAAATCTACAAATCTACATTTCTAGACTGTCTCCAAACTCCACATGCAACCCTTGGCTGACTTCAGATCAAGTCTGTCTTCTGCGTGTAGAGATGACTTGGAAGAAGGCTCCCTGTTCCAGAATTTGATCAGAAAGTGGAAATGAATCAGGAAATGAATCATTTTGCAAAGCACATGATCAGGACCTTCAGAAGCCTCCCTGCCCCTTTACATTCACTTCCTCTAAATACTTCAACTCCAGGGCTGCCTGAAATGGCTCAATTAGAGGTTTATTTCTTGAGCTTGGCTTCTGTCAAAATGCAATACCACTGGGGGAGTTAATAGCAACTTTCAACTTTAGTGTGAAGATATTTATCAGATTCCCTTATGAAGAAGATTGTGATTGAGCAGAACGCTTGTTGCCCCTCCAGGAAAGCAGGAAAATGATGAGGAGAAAAAAAAAATCTCCCAAAGAGGAGAAGGCTAGGAATATCAACACCTTTGGATTACACCATGTTTTCTAGTTTACCATATTCTTAAGCATTAAAATGCTCTCCATTCCTATCATGAAATCTTATCTACTTATCTGATAAACTGTTCTAATCAAAAACCACATCAAGTTTGTGTGTGCCCAATTTTTCTCTATCTTGACCAAACACAGGAAATGAATCATTTTGCAAAGCACATGGAGACCAGCCAAAGCAATCTGCAAATTGTGTAATTCTGTCCCAGCTCTTGGTTCTATGTGTTCAGCAAGGACTTCAAGAAATCTCATTCTTATTCTCCTTTTCACATGCACACGCCCAAATTTTTTTGTAGACTTGTGAGCTTTGATTTTGCAACCTCTTGTTTTGGGAACAAACAGAAAATAGTAACACTCCATTTGTTTTGTGCCTTTTCCTAGTGTTTTGTCCTCATATTGAGATACATTGAAATAGACTTTTAACTAGGAAAATACGGAGGATCCTCCATTCCTTATATACACACATACACATGCAGAGGCTTATAAAAACCAGGGGACCATGAACTGATGGCCCATAAAACTCTATTTTTAGCATTGGATGAAAAAACCTGAAAGACAGGAGAACTAATTTTCCTGAATCACTCAGCTAAGCTATTGATTGGCAAAGCTTAGAACTAGACTCCTGTTTCAGATATTTCTGTTTTATTCTTGTTTACTGAGTTGTACTAACTGTGGAAACTCACTATATTTTCTATTTCTGAAGCGGTTTTAAAAGCAACCAAAGTAGGCAGGTATATTATCTTTGTTAAGAGATGGTGTGATGTTCTCTCTAACTATACTTATCACTGAATTCAAGTGCAGGATCTTTATAAAGTCTCTGTGCCATTTTAAAAACTTAACTTCAAAAGCATACGAGGTAGACATGATAGTAAACTAAATGGAATTTAAAGGCAAATTCAATTTTCTTCTTAGAGCTGTCGTGAACTTCAATTCTGCTGGCCATGTTTCATTTGTCACAGGATCTGAAATGAGTACATATTGTGTGCAATTGTGTAATGTAGTTGTCCTAAACTTTAATACATTTACTTTTGAGTACCGTTTACAGATTGTTTCTCTAACACGCACAACCTGAGTTATTAAAGTGCACAAGGCCCTCATGAAGACCCTGTTTATAGCTCAAGTACAGAGCACAGGAATTCTAGCTAAATTACCTCCTTTTGCTGTTAGCCTGGTCTCCTTCATTTCAGACAGGCTACAAATCAAGAGAACTATATGTTCCTTTTCAATGAAAAGGAGAAATTCTTAAACTAGTACTTAGTGAATAACTGGTGCTAAAAGGCATGGCTACATTTTAAAATGGATTTCTGCTTAGAATACATAGATAACATCAAGATCTAATTGGACTGACAAATGGCACAGAAGAAGAGAAAGAGCAATAAATCAGATAATTAGAATGACTTTCTCAGATATGTCTGTCATTCAGCAGCCACCAGTTTAGATTCTATTATTTCTTCAAGGTCCATGCAAGAGCATGGCATGTTTTTTGAACACTCTTAGTTCACAAGGGTACAGCCCTTCTCTGAATGCCCAGAGCATCTTTAAAGTGAGTCTGAACTCAGACCGCAGAGATCAGCAGGCTGGTTTGTGGCAGAGTTGGGTCTAGAACCCAGGACTCTTCCCTGCCTCCATCCTGGGATAGGGCTGGTCAAGTATGTAGCTGGAAGGGAAAGCCTGAGGTTTTGAACCTGGGTGGCTTAGAAAATATGGGGAGCCCACGTTAAAGAAATTATATGGAATGTTAAATTATATGGAATATTGGATTATATGGAATATAATTATAATTATATGGAATATTGGATTTCTCATTGATAAAGATGATTTTAAGTATATATTATGATGTGTAGTGCCTGCTCATCTATTTTGAATGCATCACTACTAAGGTAGCACCATAATATACTTTCAATCTGAGAGTCTCTTTCTAATAGCATCACACATGAAAGACAACTTGGTTCTGTACTGAATACAACCCACTTGGACCACAACCTTGTCCCTTCTCCTTGTGTATATAAAATTTTGGTATTTACTTCGAAGAGCAGAAATCTGAGACCACTCTTATTTTTTATTTTCTATAAAAAATACTGTCTCTTTTTTGTTGGGGGTGGGAGGGAGTAGCCCCATTTTGGCTATAATATGCTTAGATAGGATCTTCTACCACCCGGCAGCCTGACTTGCTGACATTTCAAAGCTGTGAAGCATGCAAACATCTACACTCTGGGTCAAGTTTTGTTTACCCCACAGGACCCCAGCCTAGATTGTTTATTGGTAGGGGGTGCACTTGCCAAGCCCCTGGGTACCCCTGCTAATCTTCTCCAACACCTCCACTTTGTTTCTTACTGGTTTGGTTTCTTGGAAAGGCAATTTCAAAATGTGAATAGTTAAGGAAATACAAGGTCAATGTGCCACAATATTTTGGCTTCCTCCAAATGTACACTGGCTTCAGAAAAATGGATACCCTATTACACTGTCAGGAGGAAGACAAAATATTACAATGGTTTTCATAGACTATTTATAAATATACATTAAAAGCCTTAAAAATGTAAATGTTCCTTTTGACCCCACTAATTCTACTTTTAAGAATGCACTTTAAGACTGATATGGTGGCTCATTCCTATAATCCCAGCACTTGGGATGCCAAGGCCAGAGGATCACTGGATCTCAGGAGTTCAAGACCACCCTGGGCAACATAGCGAATTCCTCATCTCTACAAAAAAAAATTTTTTTAATAATTAGCCATGCATGGTGATACATTCTTATAATCCCAGCTGCTGAAAAGGCAGAGGTGGGAGGATTGCTTGAACCCAGGGGTTTGAGGTTGTGGTGTGCTATGATCAAGCCTTGCACTCTGGTCTGGGTGACAGAGTGAGAACCCATCTCAAAAAAAAAAAAAAAGAATCACTTTAAGAAAATAATCTTGGACATAGGCAAAATTTTGTTTGGAGTTAGTGACTTTTTAATAGTGAAAACTTATAAATAGTCTATATGACTAATAGTAGGATATTGAGTAAATAAATGCTAATATTCCCACATGATGAAATAACATATAGCCATTAAAATAATGTGGTAGACATATATCTAAAGACATAGGAAATATTAAATGTATGTGGAAAAGTAGAAAAAGATATCCAACCAGAATGTACAATATTATCCCAAATTGGTTTAAAACTTTGAAAAGAATATATGTGTATTTATACATAGAAGTATATATAGTAAAATATTAATGTTTACTATTTATGGCTAGTGAAATTATGGGCGATTTCATCTTTCCTTTGTGTACATCTAGATGTTCTGCATTTTCTACAATGCACATTACTTTTATTAAATATAATCTAAGAAATAAAAATGATTTACTTTAAAATGCAGCATCTGCACAGTAGGGAAAGCTGCCAGCTAGGCGTTTGTCCTGGGCCAGAGAAGAGGTAGTCCTGGTGAGACCATGTACCTTCGCACCATTCTCTGTGTGGTACTTCAGTTAGGAATGCTTTCAGCTACAAGTAACTGAAAGTCCAACAGTGGAATAGGCCGTGGCAACATGTATTATTTACTTATCCTGCCCAGAGGTAGACAACTTCAGGAGTGGCCTAGAGGGTCAGTTGTTATCAATTTCTATCTTTCTGCTCTGCCGTCCTTACACCGTTGGCTTCTCAGCCTTATGCGTGGCCCCACCTGGTCTCAAAATAGCTGCTTCTTGCTTTCACAATCAAGACAGGAGAAGGGAGGAGGGGGCTGCACTGGCATGTCCAGAAAGCAAGTCTTCCTGGGGCGAGGGAGAAGGGGCTTGGGCCAATCAGAAATGTTGGCCGCTGGTGAAAAGGGGATGTTTTCTTTGTTGAGACATATCATAAGCTGATCATTATTATTTTTCTCCTTATAGCTTCCTTAGTCATATAGTTAGGAAAATGTTTTTACACCATGTTGGCAATGAGTTGTTAGTTTTATTCAGTGTGAGTTTTTCTTTCTCTCTTTTTAGTGGAGTTGGGAGTGGATACATCAGAGTGTGCTATGCAGAAGACATTTGAAATGGAGGCACTTGAGTTTTCAAACATTCACATCCATTATCTCATATGAGCACACGGGGTAAGTAGATATGGTTAAGGGGTAAGTATGAAATTATTCTGCAGATTTTATGCATGCTGAAATTGAGAGCTAGAGAGACTAAATGATAAAGAAGTCAGATGGTCGAAAGTCAGGCTATATTTATAATGTCCAAGGATAACTAACAATGAGTTAGACTTAGCCCAACAGGTCTTAGTATTTGTTTCACATCAGATACAATTTATTACTATCAAGTTTGATTGCACTATCTAGTCTAATGGTAGAAAAATATTTCAGAAATAAAAGACACACTATTTACAATATATTTTGGGAATCCAAGAGTTTCTTTTATTTCGCTGTGGATATAACCACCACATTTCTCTGGTGTGAATATTACCTTGAGTTAAGTAATTTTGCCTTATTCCCCTATCTGTAAAATGGGAATTATTTTATATAGTAGCTGCCTTGCTGAGAGTTATTTGAATCAATTTGTTAATGTGCATAAAAGGCTTTTTCAAGATAAAAAGTGCTAGGCATTACTATTATAGTCCTTCTAATGGTGTATTTAGTGTACAATAGTTAAACCTCTTAAAACACTGATGAAAGGTTGAAATTCTCTGTAATATGTGTCACTTAGCTGATAATGTTGCTAAACGGCCAAGTGTCTATTTTAGTGTTCTTCCAAGTGAAATGAATCCAGAAAATAAAAATTAAACGAGTTTCACTTAGAAGTGAACTAAATTTTGTGATAGAGTTTATTTGACCTGCAGGCTTTGAATATTCACACAGCAAGATTTTGTGTCATGTCACTATCACCTTTTCTGCATTGTTCAATTCAGTCTAGCTTTATACTCCTTCTTACTGCTTTCCTATTATTTCCTACAGATAACTTCTGTTGAATGAATTATTCTTCATCATATGTTGCTAGATTTCTTCAACTAAGATGCTTTCTCAACATTTATGAGCTGCCTCTCTGTGTAATATAAACCCCTTTATCGTGCCCATCCTTAACATTCTGCAATGAAAATTTTCCCAGTGGTTTCATGTGTGTATACATTTCCTCCCTAACTATAAGAACAGAAGCTAGCTCCTTTACTTTCTTTGGAAATACTAATGAAAATGTTATTAGTATAACAAATATAATATAGTCCTTTATGTTTACATAAATAAACATGAACAAAAAATACATACACACATTACATAAACATATTATTTTCAAAGCATTTTTTATATCTATTAGTTCATTTGATCTTCACTAGAGTGTGTGTTGTTATCCCTATAAAAAGTCTGCATTGTATATATTTATACAATTTTTTTCTTGCCAAGTGGAAAAACAATTCTATGATCAATTCATGATTTATAAGGTCTGTAGAGAAATGTGAAATTAATATTTTTATAATATCACTTTCATTCTTGTCCATGCTCAAAACTTCAAGATAGGAATGTTAGGAGAACGCAGGCCAGAGAGGTTAAAGGATATACCTAAAGTTACATGCTACTTGGTGAACAGTACGGGACCAGGAATTTGAGAAAGACATTCTACATTGGTAGAAATGATATGAGGTGGAGATGCTTCTTCAGTGGCAAAGAGGTGTGGAGGAAGTGAATGATCTTTAAAAAATACTTTCCAAGCTCATGAAATTATCCTACTAGCAACCATCAAGCACCTCCTAAGCCAAGCACAATCTCTTTATAAAAATAACCAAGGCCTACTCCCTACCCTCAAGTGGTTTTGTGACTTGTAGGTGAGACATACACTTACATAAGTCCCTGAAAATCAGTGGAAACTGTCCTTTGAGAAATCAGATAAAACCACATTTCATTGTGCCTGTACAGGGGGAGTGGGAATAAAAGCAGGGGATGGGAGAGAGTAAGAAAACCTTTACAAAAGAGTAAACCATACCAATGAATGGAAATAACAAGAAGGTACCAATAACTTTATGTAAAACTAATTAGCACTCATGTCACTCTATTATAATTATTTGTGTTTTTCGTTGCTGCTGATCTCTGACTCCCTCGTTGCCATAAAACATTTTGTGGCAGAGACCGCTAGTTGGACACCAAATTCATTCTCCCCTTCTTCCTTAGCACCAGAATTCTGACTTTTTGGCTGGATGAGTGACACCAGAATGACTTTGTATCTCCCAGCCTTCCTTGAAGCTAGGTATGTGTCTAAGTTCTGGCAAATAAAATGTGAACAAAATTGTTAATTGAGTTCTGGGAAAGACTTCTTAAGGGGAAGAGGTATATACCTTCTCTGCCTTTACTTCAATCTTACATCCTTCTGCTTGGGATACAGATGTAGCAGCTGATGTTTCAGCATCTTGGACCATGAGGTGACCCTGAGAGTAAAAACCAAAACAGGGGAGAAAGAAAAACCCTGGGTCCCTGATGATTCTTTGGAACTCCCATCCCCTCAGCTGCCTGACTTCAGTCTTATTTTACACAAAAGAATAAACCTGAGTGTATCTATGCCACAAAATTATGTTTCTGTTAATAGTTGCTGAAACAAATCTTAAACAATACACATCCTATCTCTGTATTTCCAGCAGATTACATGGTTTCTAAATTGGCAGTTACTCGAATACATGCACTTTAAATTTTATTTAATTACTTAAACCTGCCTGATTCCAAAATGAATTAACGATGGGGTACTAAATAAATGGCTGCAAAATTTGCTCTTTATGCTCTTCCTTACCAAGGAAGAGCATAAAGACTAAAACAGGAAAAAAAATGCAAGATTGGAGAGTCAGTCCTCAAGACATAAAATCATAGAAATTATACAGAAAAATATAAAGGCAAATGCCACTCTGCTAAGGAAGAAAATCTGGCAACATAATTTTAAAATTATAATATAATTTAAAAATATGCATAATAAAATTTAAAAAATGGAGTAAATAATTGGCTCTAGTATAAATTGCTAATACATTAAAGGGCAAAATTCAAATTCAAAATGATAGTTGAGAACTGATCCTTATCAAAGCAGGGAAAGGTTGAGCTGCACAACTGGTGGGTAGTATTTGAGGCAATACAATGAACAAGCAAAATGATGATAAAAAGGAGCTAGGTCAGGGAACCATGTGCTAAATAGGTGCTGGTAATTATGATTTATTTAACAATTACTGGCGGCAATTTTTCTGAACACTTTACAATATTAATTCATTGAGTTCACATTTCTGCCTTATGATAGAGTTACTGTTATTATGTCCATTTTTCATATTATGCCCATTTTTTAGATGGGAAATTGCAGCCCAGAGAATTCATATTACTTGCCCAAAATCACACGAGTAGCGGGGAAGTAGGATTTTACCCAATGAGCAACATTTTAAAGATGAAAAGTGTTAGGCATTATTATTAGTTCTTCTAAGGTATACTTTAGTGTACAGCATACTGATGGGCAGACCAGTTTCTTGGCTCCTTTAAAACTACTTCATATTTTGAAATTGAGGAAAAGGAAAGGAATCTGGAAAGGGCCTAGGAAAACAAGTTTAAAAATGATGATAGTGATGCAAAATATATTTGCAGCCACCTGGATGGAACGGGAAGTCACCATATTAAGTGAAGTAAACCAAGCACAGAAAGATAAATATCGCATGTTCTCACTAATATATAGGAGCTAAAAAAGTGGATTTGATGAAGATAGAGAGGTAGATTGGTGGTTACCAGAGGCCAGGAAGAGTAAGGAGGAAGCGGGCAATAAATAGAGGTTGATTAATGGGTACAAGTATACAGTTAGATAGCAGAGATAAGACCTAGTATTCAATAGATCAGTAGGGTGATTATAGTTAACAATAATCTATTGTGGCAGGGTGCTGGTGGCTCACGCCTGTAATCCTAGCACTCTGGGAGGCCAAGGCAGCAGGATTGCTTGAGCTCAGGAGTTTGAGACCAGCCTGAGCAAGAGCAAGAACCCATCTCTACTAAAAATAGAAAAATTAGCTGAGTGTCATGGTGCACGCCTGTAGTTTCAGCTACTCAGGAGGCTGAGGCAAGATCACTTGAGCCCAGGAGTTTGAGGTTGCAGTGAACTGTGATGACCCGGGGTGACAGAGTAAGACTCTGTCTCAAAAAAAAAAAAAAAAAGAAAGAAAGAAAAAGAGACAAGAGACAATAATCCACTGTATATTTCAAAATAGCTAGAAGAGAATAATTCTAATATTACTAACATTAAAAAAATGTTTAAGGTGATGGATATCCCAACTACCCAGATTTGATCTTTACACTTCATATGAATATATCAAAATATCACATGTACCCCCAAAATATACATATTATGTATCAAAAAGATTAATTCTGAAGATGTTATAAAACATTTGTATCATTTCTTCCATATACATTCTTAAAATTCACATAAGGATATGTAAATTCTGAATGCTTTCTCTGCCTTTGTCTCCTTTTTCTTCCTGGAAACTCTTCCTCATCCTCCAAGATTTGGCCCCAATGTTTTTCCCTGTTGAAGGTCCCTAACCCTCACTCTTTCCCTTCCCAAGTGCAGTTGACTAGAGGGAGCTTCGACACCTGTAGCCAGTCCAGACTCTTCTATTCGAGCTATTTTCCCACTGTGTTTGCAATTATTTGTTCACAAGCAACAGCCCTCAGACAAGTTAGGAGTTTCCTAGGGTAGAAACCATCCAGCACAGCGATAGGCACACGCTTACCAGTGAAGAAAAACTTGTTGAAAGAAGAAATAAATGACCAATTGATTAACCATATACAATGATCTTATGAGAACTAGTGTCATCCAGAGAGGGCAATGTAGTTTTACAACTGCACCTTGAAATTTGACAATGATTGTGTAAATACACAGATTCCACTGTCCAGGAACAATATTAGAAATAGAAGCCAAAGCAAAGTGCCAAGAAAATAGTCAGATGGGGTGTTACCAACTATTTTTTTCTTTAGAGAAGTCACCTGCTGACCTTGCTCTCTATGGCCAGGAGACATCGTTGATTCCCTCACCTTTGTTCTTTAAAAGGTAAAGAAAACATGCCTTGCACAGTACTCAAAACAATAGGAAGACAAAAAGAAGTGGGAAATTTGACCTTGCTCTTTACAGTTTCCTTGAGAATTTTTAGTAGTTTTATTGTGAAGCCTTAGTACTTTTGCTGTGACCTCTGTATACCCCAAGGTCAGGTCAGCTTTGCACATAGCTTATGGATTAAACCCTTGGGACCATCCTAGAGCCAGCCCAAGCTTTAACTGGCCTCAAAAAACATGCACCCAAACCTACATATTCTTCTCTTTTGATTTACAAGGGATGGGGGCTCCTTTTTAAAACTAAGGTTCAACAGACAGTAGCTAGAATTTATGCTGAAGTGGAGTAGCAGGCTTTGGAGCCGAGCAGTGTCCTAATGCAGGTGAAAAGCATGTATTGATTACTTAAAGAAAGTTAAAATAAAAGCAATTTTTCTCCCCATTTCGGCACATTGCAGCTTTTGGCCTATCCACTCATAGCTAAAAAAGCATTCTTTCCTGATAATCAAGCTTCAGCTGTCTGAATTTCAGGCCGAGCCTCTCCTCCTGAGCTCTGCTGAAGAGCTGCTTTAATTAACCATTATACCACAGATGTTATTGATTTTTTTTTTCAAATCTGGTTGAAACATCATTGTGCTGGATCATGGCCAAAACTAAGGCCTGAATTTGTGTGTGTGTGCGCTGCTTTTACTCCTTCTGCATACCTTATTAGTCTCCATGTCTGTTAAGTGCAATCCTTAGTATTAACTCAGAAAATACAGAATTGATTTTTAGCCTAGCAGCCGTGATCTAAGGGCTCCTAATTTGAAATCTGAAAACCTCAGTTGCTGAGGAAGTCTTTCTGCTGTTACTCCACACTTCCTTGAAGTAAGCTTTTTATTCTTTAATTTAAAAAAGAAATCTCCTTCTGCCTGTTACTTCTTATTCTTACACACACACACACACACACACACACACTTGGACATTTCACAGGAACATGAGCCATTCTTTGCATTTTGAACATATGCTGTGAAAGGCCCCCAGAGCCTTATCCTCACCTGTCCTAAATGATTGGCCAGCAATGTAGATTGTATAAGATTTTGAAATTGAAGTGTCTCAACACTTTCCATATTTTGGAGGAAAATTTGGAAGAACTTGAGTAGCATTCAACTTTGAGCAAATTGCAGGATATCAGAAACAACAGGGCATCTGCATTCCTTTTACAATCCACCTTCCAGGGATGATAAACTCAAGGAGCAGATGATCACAGTAGGTTCCTAAATTCTGATAAGGTTTCTGTGAGTTTAGTGATACGTTCTTTAAACGTAATTTGAAGCTTTTAAAATACTGTAATGGCAGCTCTTGACCTTTAAAAATCACATGGAGCAAGAGGTGGTGAAAAATGTTTATTTACTCTGCATTAGTGGCTAACCTCCTTTCCTTCCTAGAACCACTAGTTCTTTTATACTCGGGAACTCACGCATGTCACCCCCATTCTTCCAACTCGAACCAGACAGGCCACTTGAGCTGGAGAAACAATGGCCTGTAGTCGGTCCCATGCCTCAGTGCGAAACAACAATGCCGGCCTCTTGACGAATTCTGGCGTCGCGAGTGGAATCTTGCAGTTCAACATGTCTGCTGAACAGAAGTTGGAAAAAGAAAAGATCATCTTGTAAACAATTAATTAATGTTTGTCATGAATTATCATTTTTACTTCCTTCTCAAGAGGCTCAAAGGGAATAAAAAGGCATTTTTGCAGGTGGTGGCATTCAAACTAAGGGCAATCAAAGGTTTGAGAGCTGAGGCACAGCACTCTGAGTCTCTAAGGGTGAATGGTGCTAGGATTAGAGCACAGCAGGGGGTTGAGGGCTTCAGGTGTGAAGCTTAATGTTTGTGATCAGCAAAAAAAGTCTTGAATTTATCTAAACTGCTCTTCTGCTAACAGTACTTCTAGCACATAAATGTTCTGAAACTGACAAGTGTTCTCATTGCTCTTCTAATGCAAACATGATCTGCATTTGAAAGATGCATCCCTTTTGCCTAATTTAGAATGTGCATCACAAAGAGCGTTAGATGATGACCCCACAAAGAGATAACACACACACACACACACACTCTCACACACACTCCAGACGTGCATGCTGCATTCATATACACACATGCAAACAGTCTCTTTCTTGCCTGGATCTTCTCTTAAGCTCCCAGCAAGGAT